AATTGTTCCCGAAATGAGAATGTGCTGAAACTTCCCAGGCATGGAGTTTATGATATACTTGAAGTAAAATCACACAAAAATGTCGGGGTCACTGAACTCGTTAAGAATATATGACAATCACAATATACCACTTTTTCCCCAATATGGCGCCATCTTGATGCTCATTACGAGTAACAGCAAATTCACAACAGCCCGATATTTATTGACAATTTTAGCGCGGATTTTGCTTTAGTAAACCTATATCTTGTAATTATTTTGGGATAAATATTGTGTTTTGAGCAAAATGAAACTGCTAACGTGTTCAATTCTGATCCACAAAGGTCTTTTCCTACCCTGGTTGCCAGAGGTTCTGTATCTTTCGCCTTATTCCCGCTCGTATTTATTTTATGCGAGGCGAAGAGAACCTCTGGTGGCACGCGACACAAATCTCTCTTCCTTTGGTACAAAATTTGTACCAAGCACATGATTGGTTGGTTATAATTAGCAGTCACATGAAGTGATGTGATTGGCTAGACAAAAAAACCTGTTTATAAATCTCAGAGACGTGATGTAAACAAAATACAGAAATAATACGAACGTATTAAAATGCTTTACTCAGCGTGGGTTATTTGAGTTTAACCTAGTTTGTTCCGCTATAAAAAGACTTTCTGCGCTAGATAAGAGCTGCAGTGCATCGCGGCATGACTTGAGTCGACGGCATGACATGTTCACTCTATTACAGTAGTAATATTTGTAAAATATAAAGTCATTAAAGTGTCGGTCACTTGCTTTGTATCGTTCAAGGTTTTTAATTTTGGCAATTCCTTTGACTTTAATAGTTATTAATATGATTTATTTTGCCAATATTTTTCCGTTGTCTGTTAAGGACAACCATACTGGCTCCGTTGCACACGTATATATAAATATTTATATGTTTATATTCTTTCACTTTTGACTTTATACGTTCGCTATAAATAGACCTAATACAAACGGCATTCCACAATCAGTAAGGTTGCTTTTTGCTTTGCGAGAATAATCTACATGTTTCTAATGAATAATCTACATGTTTCGGCTGCTTATTTTTAGTATTTTAAACAATATAAAAACGTCACAAAATATAAAACCGGTTTTGCAAGTTCTCAAACGGCAACGTCAGCATGGAAGAGAGATTTGTATCGCGTGCCACCAGAGGAGAACTTCGCCTCGCGTAAAATAAATATACGAGCGGGAATAAGGCGAAAGATACAGAACCTCTGGCAACCAGGGTAGTCTTTTCCATACATTGATAAATTATTTTTTTTCAAGATCCAGAAATGATTTTTCTTTTAATTTCGGATATGAAATGTAAAATGCATTAAAGAAATAAATTATCAGTTAAAAAACGAGGGTCACCGATCTTTTTAAGGAATTGTGGTATTAAAACATGAAATACAAATACATAAATACACTACAGACACAGGAACCCCAGCTACACTTTTGTATGTCTTTTTTAAAAACATTGATTTTAACGTAATTATTTGCACGAATGTAACCAAATATGTTTTAAGTAACATAAAATTGTCATAAAATGATTTTTTTTTAAACGGTACGTATAATGGATGAAATTATAAGTTATAAGATGTGCGCAGTAAAAGTGCGCAATACAAAACTGCGGAATTACCTTAATACACGCTTCCAGAAAGTACGTCACCTTGGCTATCGAGCCTCGTTCTCATGATTGCGACGCTTGGATTGGACTAATGTCACATACACGAAAACGAGGCTCAATAGCCAAGGTGATGTTCTTTCCCGATGGGTGCATGTATTCACTGTCACAATAGACCTTATGCATAATGACGTCACAAGGCTTGATTCCCGCGAAGAATGCTGGTCTTGGTAGTCATTGCCCGGGAAAATTAAACAATTCAAAATGGCCACTATATAAATTTTCCCGGGCGATGACTACTGAGACCAGCATTCCTCGCGGGCATCAAGCGTTATGACGTCATTATGCATAAGATCTATTGTTAATTTTTCTTCATTTTTCTTTCATCTCCAGGTCTGTTAACAAGGTTAGTTCTACTGGATTATTGCATGCTTTTCAAGTGCATAAAATGATAAAATGACTTTCATCAAGATTTAAAGTTTACCATTGTAATTTTGTATAACCAGAAATATCAGACTTATAGTTATTATACCATCAACTCATCGTTTGTAATATAACGGCTGTTAACTATTTTTTTCATAATCCAAATCTTTTAGTTAGCGATTGTTTTGGGGACTTTCGTTTCATTAACAAGTAAGAATTGACACTCTTCTTAGAAACAAGACACGTAAAATATACATACATCAAGCTGAGTGTTACCAGCGGGCGACACTGCGAGTTACTGAGAGTGTGTATGTGGGTGCGGGGGGAGGGGTGATAAGGTTGCAAAAATACATACGTACGTTTTGTAGCTAGAAATCTAATCTATTCTATTTAAACTTTTTGCCTTAAAGTGTACGTATATGACATGAAATTTCTTATTTTCTTTAATGAAAGAACTCTTTGAGCTGTAGTGTAACTTATTTTTCAGTTTCTTGTTTTTATGGCTGTTCCCGAGATATTTCAATTTATTTCATATGTAAATGAGTGTGAATATGTCCGCTAATTTATAACGTCACATTGGTTGTAAGCTCAACATACACTGGTTATAAATCTATTAACTCTAAAAACTGTAGATATCAGTCAATTCGTTTACTAATTGGACAAATGTATATAAAACTACATGTGAAATTTCAAAAGTTGTAAACAAGCGTTAGCCGAATGGGCAAAATATTATTCGAATATAACCCGCGCCAACACAAGATGTACATTTTATATGAAATAGTCTGAAAAGTTTGCCCAATATACTGTATATTAGTATGGTTTGGTTTTATCGTCGTTGAACTAATGATATAATAAAAATAAACAATAACTACCTTTATGCGGTTTAATAAGTGATGCACTTCCCCGTGTTTACTTTATAGCTGTACAGTATGTCAAATTGCTACACTTTTTGGAGTAGTCTAAATAATGCTTGTCGCAAAACGCTAGACAGTGTGCATGCTTCACGAAATATCAGTATATACACGCTTAAATTATAATGAACACTTGCGAACCACCGCAACTAATAATTAGCTAATATAGTTTTTCATGCAGATATTATTTTGGGTTTATAATATTTATTGGTGTAATTTGTTTCACGTTTGTTTACGTTAAAACGCATCGGTGTAAAAATCTGGCTTAATCTTGCTGGTTTAAAACATTGTCGTTAGGAGTGTGCTGTCTGGCAACCACACGAGAAATCTGTTTTATCTGTACTTAGCAGTATAAGCCGCTAATATTTATGGACAAAAACGTTTCACAGTAAAATGGGATTCAATCGTGAAGAGCGCTGCCTTGTTGTTCTGTCGGGTTTTGCTCTTACGAAAGCTGCAATTAAACCACCAGTTTGTATCTTCAGGCCCTTTAATCCTTTATGTAATTATAACATTGTAGTCGAAATTTTACCTGTATATTATCAAATCTAAATAAATAAAGCAAATCTTAATGCAGAGCCTTTCAGCACATACTTTACATTTTGAAAATGGTTTTGCCATGTGATAATTACCTACCCTCCCTGAGTCGCATAATTTAGCACCCAAAATTTGGGCGCTACCTGACCAGCCTGTGTCAGGGTTTTCGCTGCAGCGGGTTTGGGAGGATAGTGGAAGTGAAAACCCTGAGTATCAGGTTGGTGTATTTACTGTTTTTGCAAGACGTTGTTCTCCCATGAATAGACAAAACTTATAGAGGTACCAAGTTCTCTGCCTTTATGGCAAAAGTACAAGAGGCAATGCAGCAAAGTGTTTAATTTCTATGGACATATACAGTATTTATTGTTGGGCAAATATAGTAGTGACATTTAAAAACCTTAATATTTATAAGCATACTTTAATTAACCTAGGTTTATATATATATTAGTATAATGTTGTAATGTATTCGCTTTTTATTTATACAGCAATAAATGTTTTACGCCATAGTCTAACTGTGATAACTGTTCTTTTTATGCCAGCTTTAGCTGTTTAGCACTTTTAGTAATTACTGCCAAGGTGTGTCATCCAATACACCAAATAGTATGTTAATCCATAGATCTGGAGGTGTGCTCCAAAACACACCTTTTCAAAATCACACATTAAAACGTGTCCGATTCTGGCCAAGCAGAAAACACACATTTAGGTGCGTTTTGGAACATGCACACCTTAGTGTGTTCCAAAACACGCCTTAAATGGTGTCAGATTCTGGACAAAAAAGTGTATTAGTTGAATACACCTTTTTTAGAGCGAGAGAGAAAAGGTATCACTATTGCGAGATAATACAAGGAAGTGTACATTCAAAACTTTGCGTTTATTGTGATTATATAATGTAATTTGTGCAAAACTTCTGTTCTATACAGTATAAGCAGGAAACATTTTCTACAGAAGATCTATTGCTCTTAATTCACCATTGTTTGTCACGTTCCAAGCGTAGTTGTACTTTCCAAGAAGTTCATTTACGGCTTGTTGAGATTCGCCAATGTATAGAAACGTTTTGAATCTAACACACATCGTATATCCTCGTCCTAGTGCTTCATTTATGAGATCTCCTTTATGGCTGCCATCATAGGAATATTCGCGAATTCTATTCCTCAAAGATGACGTACTTCCAATAAAAATAATTTTCTCTTGTGCTTCACATTTTATCTTCCATTCAAATATTCCACAATTATCGGCAACATGTTTCACTGATATACGTCTCAATCCGACATGCTGTTCCCGCCTTTTCGTCCAAGCAGTGTCACCATGATTCCCAGGTTTCATTTCCGTGAACCATTTTGACCAATAATTATTACCGTTCGCCAGAAAAGTGCCATCCGGGATTAGTTCTCGGTGGGGAAGGTTTGCCATTATGTCGAGTTGTAAATTGCAACACGTCTTTGTCCTTAGTTCTAAAAATCTAAGAAATGATGTAAGACACTGAAAAAGCGAGACCCTTTAAATTTTCACCAGGGTTACATTAATGTCTCGATTGTCGGGCGTTTACTGTTGGCTAGAAAACATGCAAAACTTCTACAATGGGTTCAAAATACTGGTACAAAATCCCAACCAGGAAGACTTGAAAATTTTGCAAATGTCCTAACCTTGAGGGGAAATCTCTACCATCCTTCGTCTAAGTAATGTTCATACAATTCCATTGCTACTCTATCTGAAAATTTCTGGATCATGATCAATCTGGATGCGGATGCATTCAGATCTGGATCTGATTGCATTCCGAAATTCATACTAGCTATGTTGTAGGTGATCTGAACCTAGCAAAAAGTGCTGTGCATAGTAAGCACACAAGCATAGGTGTAGGCGTAGGAGAGGGGAAGGCAAGGTGGCGCAGGGCTGCCGTCCTCAATCATTTTTGTATGGCGCAGATTATACTTAAAAATCAGGCAATTATACATAACCATTGGGCTAATATTCTCCGGCCCCTAATTTTTTTACAGCAACGAAATTAATATTGTATCACAGCAACGAAATTAATATTGCAATGTTCATAGGTTAAGTTCTCAGAACGAATTGCAATAGAAACATGCATGAAAGGTGCAATTGTGGTTCTCTCAAATTCCAATGTATAATATAGTATAGTATAGCAATGTTACAAGAACTAATATTTTGCAATATTTTCTAAAAAAAAACTTAAATCATAAATTTGCAAACGAAAAAATTGCGAAAGAAATTACTAACGTAATAGCATAGTTACGCGATTAGTTCTAATCGCCATCTCGATCGGGCGATTTAGTAAATTGCCCGTTGGCAAGGGTCACACCCTTTGTCTCCCTGCCGACTACGCATTAGGCAAGTGCCTCACGCACATAATCGTGCAAGGAACAGCATCCATCAATAGTCCCTCGGGCCTCGGGGATTCCACAAACCTGCCTCGGGTTACGGGGTCATTTAATTATACTAATCTCCCTCAAGCCATGCATGCTATTATTTATAAATATATGCCGGCAAACGAATATTAGTACGATATAAGTTACCAATTGAATCTTGGAATGCAGAATTTTGATTGAAAATAACGAAAATAATACCGTAAATACTTATAATTATATTATGTTCATGAGCATACTCAACTATACATTAGACATTAATAGAGCAGACGTGTCATGGAGAGCTCCGAGATTTTTGCTGAAGATACTGTAGAACTCGATTCTACGTTGCCAAATCATTTGAAAACAACAGCTAAAGGGAATTTAAAGTGGTCAAGAGATTTTGAATCACTTCAGGCATTTATAAAAAAAAGTGTGGTAGACTTTAATGTGAAAAGGACGTCAAACATACGAGCATCAATTGAAGTTTAATACTTGATGGTGAGCAAGATAGCTGATGTCGTTAAAGACAAGCTCTTTTCGTCCGCCCAACAAAATCAGGAGATACTTGATGAAATGACGAGCGACGAAGAATCAGATATACTCCACAGCGACAACGACGATAATGGCGGCGAAAGAAAAAGGAGCCAACACCCATCGAATAGTCATAACGACCTGTTGCACGATTACAACGACTGTATCGGCGGCGACGAAGAAAGAAGCCAACACATATCGTTACTTGAAAAAAATAGTAAAAACGTTAAGAAAAGAAATAATAAAAATACAGGAGAATTTTGAAATAAATAACGAACGCACTAACAACTTGCTGTCACGACTAACTTCGAAAGTCACGTCTCTATATGAACTACGACTAGAAGAAGGAGAGAACAATCCAAGGCCAGGAGTAGTCGAGTTAATCCAAAATGAGAACTCTGCCTTGAAAAGCGAGAACTGATGAATTCCTTAGAGAAAGAATCGAGGTTACGACTTATACACTTTCAGACTTGAATAATAAAATCAAAGCGGCAGAACAAGAAAAAGAAAGCCTCCTCACCAGTGGCGAAGCCAGCGGTCATGCAGGTCATGCAGTGCATGACTAAAAATTTCCCCAAAAATGTTTAAAAATCAGTTCAGTATAATTGTTTACAATAGAATTATACTTTATCTTTGCACTTCTACGCCTAAGTATTTTATTTATTATTTTGTTTACCCAAATCAGTGGTCTTTAGGTCGATATTTTCGCTAAATATTCTCGTATGTTATTGATTTCGGCTTTGTTACCTTGGCAACTGAGCGGTCCTGCATATTTTCACATGCATGACCGGTTGCGTAAGCGCGTGGAAAACGATTGCGTGTGATTGCTGCGTGGTTTGCTCGCTGTGTGTTTTGGTCATGCATTTTCAGAATTTCATGACTAGCTATATTATTTTATATTAGGTTTGTTGGTTTCTGATTGGCTTACGACGTTCGCGCACGCGCAATGCGGCTGTTTTTGACGCCTTGGTCATGCAATTTTCGATTTGCATGACTAAACGGGCAACACAACCTGATCACAGCCTCTTAGCTCGAAGCTTTCAGCCTGAATGAACACGTCTTCAGGTCATTCAAGCATGTCGACTTCTTCTTTACTCGAAGCTAACGATATTGTTTGGGAATTGGTGAAAGAACCATTTTCTGCTCAGCAGAATATTATTGTTTATCAAGCAGAGACCAACGCCAGATCTTTCGACATGCCCGATCGGGAAAGGTTTTCAAATGTCGTGGTATTCAAAGAAAGAATGGTTTAGGCTAAATAAGCTATTAGTATTATTTAGTTATTGTTATTTTGTCTTGAATATTTAAGCTTTCAACCCGAGCATAGGCGTATAAAGCATCGAGGCGCTAGTATAATACTGTAAAGTGTATGAAATACAATGTCAATGTCGAGGTCAATGTAGTAAACAATGTAGTTCTATAAATAGCGCTGCAAGGCTTATACATTTCAACACGCAACACAAATATTTTAGCGATTGTGACTTAGCAACATATTTGATATATACTTGTTTGTGAAACAAACAAAGAAATTTCAATATATATCGTTAAATTGTATTTACCATTTGGTACATACTCCCTAATTCCTTTCCGTATCTAATATTGTAATCAAGGCTCATGCGTAATGCGTTATATTTTCCAAGTGACCAAGTCTGCATATTATACCTATATTCTAGATTATACTGACTGTATTAGCAGCTATTTGTCATAATGTATCGAAAATAAATACACAATTGCCGGTATGACTATAATTGGCGGAACTGCAGACCACAGATTTCCTATTTTTGTGTTGATCTTCATTATTGTTGTCTGAAATATGCCAAAATATCCACATCTTTTCCTTCATTAGGTCAAGCTATTTTCCGAAATTTGATGCTCAGATTGCTGCAAATGGCGTTTCTGGGGTCTATATTTCAAAAATTTTCCGGGGGGGCATGCCCCCGGACCCCCCTAGGATGTGTCACGCCTTCGGCGCTCGTTTGCATGACCACTCAAACGACGCTGGCTTCGCCACTGCTCCTCACTGCTATTAGATTAATCTACGACGATTCTAAAGTTAAACTGCCTGATGGCGACCCCGATCAGCAGACAAATAAAGTCGGAGGCTGCGAAGAGGCATACGTATCTATCCCTAAGGAAAGAAAGCAACCCAGTGCTAGCAAGCGTGTGTCAACGACAGCTGTTGAAAGTCCTCTTGGGATTAACCAATACAGCCTAATGTCAGTCAAAGAAGTTCCGAACGGCAATGAAGAAGTCGACAATATTACTGAAGCAATACACGTTATAAAACCAACTACACGATCAGACAGTAGTCGTACAAGACGCAGACACCCAAATACCAACTCTGAAGTCGGTACACAGATACAGAAAGACCAACATCAATCACGCGACAAAGGTTGGCTCTAAGTCTAAGGGTTAAGACCCTGAAAATCAGCGAAATCGAGATGACTACGTGGTAATCATGGGCGATTCAATGCTGAAGTTCATTGATACACGAAGGTTAAGAAATGGCACTAACAAAAAACTTGCCGTGAAAACATTCCCAGGCGCAAAGGTCGATGATATGATTCATTATGTCAAGCCTACCCTAAAGAAACCCCCAAAGGAAGTAATCATTCATGTGGGAACTAATGACATATCGACTAAATCACCAACTGAAATCATTAAGTCCATCTCGGCCCTTGGAGAAGCAATTATGACAGAAGATCCTGCTATTGATCTAACATTCTCTGAGGTGGTGTTAAGGAACGATGATAAAGGATTTGTAAAACTAGTAAATGATAGGCTAGACAGTTTATGCACTAAATAAACGGGGTGCTTATCTCTCACAAAAATATTAAAGCTATTCACTTAAATGGATCCGGTTTACATTTACATAGACAATTAAGGTTCAGCGATTTTAGCTAAAAACATTAAGCACAATTGTTAATGAATTCCGCTCATTGACTTAATTATTCGGAATGCTGCTCCCCAAATGTTATCGAAGAAATGCCAAAAACTAATGTATCTAGTAAAGTATTGCGAAAATAAATTTGGACAAACAAATTGTCAGTCAGTTGGTCATGCATTGCTAAACAAAATGAATGAATCTACTGAAGAGAATTGTCAGCAGCCTCTCTAAGTGAATGTATAGGTTATAACAATGATGAATTAAAACTAAAAGGGTTCTCAATAGCTCATATTAACATAAGGAGTTTGATAAAAATTTAGATCAGCTATCTATATATTTAAAACCATGCCAATTCGATGTTCTTACTATTAACGAGACCAGGCTTGATAGTACAATTAAGGATTAATTATGAGGTTGGGATAGCTGGATACGAGATTGTAAGAAAAGATAGAAATAGGAATGGGGGCGGAGTGGCGATTTACATAAGAAACTCAATCAATTATAAGATCAGAAATGACTTACAACCGGAAGACCTTGAAACAATAACTATAGAGATTTGTAAATCCAAGGCTAAATCATTTGTAATTAATACCTGGTATAGGCCCCCAGGAAGTACACTAGAATTGTTTAATTGTTATGAACAATGTATACCGGAAATGGACTCGGATAATAAAGAAATAGTACTTGTTGGTGATTTTAATGCCGATTGATCTAATTCAAAAAAGACTGTTCAAACTAAAGCGCTTATTGATATCACAAACGAATTCCAATTTAAGCAATTCATAAATGAGCCAACTAGAATTACTGAATCGAATAGTTCAACAATTGACCATGTAGTCAGTAATAGGCCTAAGATTATTATTAGATATGGTGTAGATCATATAGGTATCAGTGACCATAGTTTGATTTATGTGTACAGAAAAAATTTAAATTCCTCGAAAAGATGCAAAAATTATAAATACAAGGCAATATAAGAACTGTGATAAAGAAGCATTTAGGTTCGATTTAAACCAAATATTTCAATTCGAGCATTACGATAAAGGCGACCCCAATTATGTTTGGAATGATTGGAAAACAAAATTTTTACTTATCGCTGATTTACACGCTCCACGTATTACTCGAAAAGTGAGGAGTGAATATGCTCCCTGGATTACTGACACAATTAAGAAGAGTATATATCATAGAGATTTCCTTAAAAGAAAAGCTGTCAAAACAGGGTCTAAAAATATGCATGAGGCTTATCAGAATCGTGTTAATAAATTGATTAAACATACTAAAGCTAATTATTATATTGGAGGATTGAACAAATATAACAATAATCCTAAAGAGATGTGGAATACAGTCAATAAGTTGATAGACAAAAACTAAAAAAAAAACCCCAATGTAACTGAACTTAAGATTAATAACGAAACTATTTCTAAACCGCAAGATATAGCCGAAGCCAGGGCATTTTTTAACATATAAGCTGGGCGGGGGGGGGGGGGGTT